TGTACATAATTTATTAAAAATAACTAAAAAATATTTTTGACTCTACTGCAAACATAGTTGGTATTCCAAATTTTTCCAAATGTGTGTTCTGGAAAATAATTGTTATAAGCCAACTTGGTGAATTCAAGATAGACACACCATGAACAATCTCATGCATCAGAATTGCACTTAGAAAATCCATGCATCTAGTATAAGTGCTGTACTCACTGAAGGAAGTGTGACTTCTGTGATAGAATTTGGTTGGCTGTATAGTTTTCTTATGTGTAAATTCTTAGAAAATTTTAAAATTATTTGGCCCATTTCTAAATTTGGTAAAAATTATAACAACAAACTATCTTTTAAAATAAGTTTACAAGCATGTAATTATGATTAGTTATATTATCTAAAAAGTTATACCATCATTATCCCAGAGATTTCTTGAGATCTTATGGTGAGCTTTAACACGATCGCTATCTCCCATGTCCAGTGTCCCTGAATTAAAGACAGAAGTTATAAATGTGCTATTCTAAACTAGGTAGCGGCATTCTACTTCTAACTACATTATTGTTTCTGTTATATAGAATATTGCTTCTAACAGATCACAAAAGAGTCCTAAAGTTTCAATGGAAAAAAAAATAAAAGTTCTTCACTAAGTACAGAAATGAAGCAATTACCAAACAAGTTGCTATTACATTGACCATAAGAAAACTGACAATGCAAATGCTTACATACCACAGAAAGGCTATTTTATAAGAAGAAACAACTTTAAGAATATTTTGAATTCTTCACTCCAAGTACAAGTTTCAAAATCAGACAGGAGATAAAGAGAAACAGAAATGGAGAGGGGATGATGGTGTAGACCATTTGTTATTCATAGGAAAAAAAAAACTTGTGAGAGTAACAAAAATACATTTTAAAGAAATTTTGAAATCTGAATTTAACTGACAAAATGAGTACAAAGGAGATAAAGATTTAGTGTAGGATTTCACCCAGAATAGAATACAAAAGCAAACCACACTAGCATGGGACTGCAAACACACTCAATGGCTGGCTTAGCACTATGCAACCAGGCCACATTACAAGAATATAACAAAAGCAAGACACAGTATATACAGTCTAGAATGTTTGGGAAAACAACAGTTTCCAAGCACCATATGAACAATCAATTAATCCATTAACTGGAGATAACCATTTCTACACTCTCCAATTGGGTTATAGGTTAAGTAGTCCATAAATAGACTCAGATCCATTAAATTTATTGCACTATAAGTTGGCTGATATCATTATGCCCAATGTAAACAATAATGCAAATTTCCTTAAAGTTTATATCAGTAGATGACACCGGGGTAAAAAATAAATACTTAAAACCCATGCAGAATGGCTTTCAAGTTCAAGTGTACTAATATACCAAGTTTCTCTGTAAATATGCATTTCCGTGGAGATTCTGTAGACCAAGGCACGTTGCTGGGGAGCTCCAAATATAACATCTTTTTTTTTTTCTTGAAAAAATCCTGGTTTACGTTTATAAGAGGGAGGAATGGGTAATAAATCCATTAGTTTGGTTGCCCTGTTAGAAGTTCTTCATCTCTTTGCACATATTTCTGCTAATGTCCTAAATTTAGGCTCCAAATGGTCCAAAAACTCAAGCCCATCTTCTTCCTGTTGGTCACTACAGCAACCCACAGAGCCAGCAGCTGAGCCTCTACCTTCATAGTTGTAAGACAGGACATAGTCTTGAGCGAGATTTTGATTGTCGTTCTCATGGCACAACTGCACTTTCTGTCAGGGAGAAAGCACAAAATATTTTATTTTTTATTATTTTAAGCACCAAAACGTATTTACAGAAAAAGAATTGCTTTGATTTACCTTTCACTGTTTAATTTTTAATCAGAGTGTGTCCTCTAATGGTTTCCTATGTGTAGAAAATGCACATGATTGGTCTGTATCATAAAATCACACCATAAAGTCAGTATTAGCATGCTTCTAAAAGTCCTGAGTGGCGCTAAGTACCCAAGTGTTCATTTTAAGTGGCCATTGCTTCCCTCTTTCTAAATAATGAGAAAAGTGAAAACACACTCAGTAAACGGAACCATAATTGATGTGAGCACCACTCTTTCTGAACATCAAAGCGATGGTACATATGTTGAGCTGCTAAAACAAAATTTGTCAGATGCAAAACCGTAGCACAAAATTATTTCTTTGATAAGTAATAAAAGTCATCAGGCAGCAATGGTACATGTCTTTAATCCCAGCACTCAGGAAGCAGAGGAGGCAGATCTGAGTTTGATGCCAGCCTGATCTACAAAGCAAGTTTCAGGGCAACATAAAAAAAAAAAAAAGAAAAAAAAAGTGTCTCAAAAGACCAAAAAGTAACAACAAAGAGAGTAACAAAATCAAATAAAATATACAGGAAAGTGATCCTGGCAGTGGTGCATGCCTTAAATCCCAGCTCTCAGGAGGCAGAGGCAGGTAGATCTCTGTGAGTTCGAGGCCAGCCTGGTCTACAAAGCAAGTTCCAGGACAACCTCCAAAGCAATACAGAGAAACCCTGTCACAAAAAAACAAACAAACAACAACAACAACAACAAAACCCAAAAAGACAAAAACAAACAAACCAGGAAAGTGAATGGCCACATTAATCTGAACATAATTAAGCCCAAATTAATTAAAAATAGTAACTTTCCAATAAGCAGATTCACCGTTTATTAAAAGTAGCAGTCTACACAAACATTAATTTGGAACCTTTGTAACATTTAAAAGATTATCACCATAAGCTTGGGCAACAGCTCAGAAACTCACTTCACCAAGTCGGGGCTGAGTAAAATTGTGCCACTCAGAGTAAGTGTATCTGTAGTTGTCCACTTCCACATGTCCTCCTCTGCAGGGATCCAGGGTGTGGTGATGATAGCCAGCCCCCCCACAGGTCTCCAAGGTCTGGTGCCCTCCTTTCACCATCCCAATGGTCTCTTGACCTCCACCTTTGAGTCCTCCTCCCCCGGCACCAAAGGCTGCCTGCCCAGAAGCTCCCACAGTTTGGGTTGTGAAGACATTTGTGGAATACTGAAAAGATAATGGCATGTATCAGTTAAATATACAGAGGAAGAAAAGACAGTAAGAGGAATAGCAGGTGAAGATGACACCTTGGCTTTAGAACAGCATTATAAGGGAGTCTTTCCATCTGTCTTTCCAACCCTGAGTACCTGTAGCATGTGCCCTGTAAGAGACGTCATACCTAGCACAAGAACAAACTGCAGATGCAAATCAAGAAGACTGATGTAGATTCCACCTTTAAACACTTGTTAGCATGCTGGACATGTTCCGTTATGGCCTTCCAATGCCTTGAAAGTGGCATTTCTGTGTCACAGCAATTTGCTTTCTCAGCTAAACCCATTCCCCTTTACCAGGCAAGAGAAGATAAAGAAATAATGACAAGCTTTCTCAGTCAACCACGACCTCAGTTCCTCCCAAGTCAAATACAAAGAAAAAATTCTTATAAACATGTAATCCTTGCAGTCTACATTAATAAAGCAATAAACCAGAAAGGAAAATACCAGAAATGCCAACAAACTGGCCACTCCTCTTCTAGGTTGTGTGTTTACACTCTGAAATATAATTTAAGGTTTTTTCAACGTCTTTTTCTCAGATATGGTCAGTTTTTTTTGTTTTGTTTTTGTTTGTTTATTTGTACTTCTAGACCTTCCCTGCTCTGGCCATCGTATGTGCTTTTTTGGAAAATATTTACTTGTTTTTCCCTCATATATTGGGCTAGGAAATCAGAGCCACTTGGCATTCCCTTGCTGGTGTGCTGCTTTAGACTGCCCGCCTCAGGCTCATTTCAAAACCACATTACAGTCAGGAAGACTCCAATAAACCTTTTCCCACCATCATCAAAGTCCGTAGAGATTTTATTGCTAGAGCCAGATTTAAAAAAAATATATACTTATGATCTGTGAGTAATTAAATGCAATATTTTAAAGCATAAATAGCAGTTTACATAGATTTTTTGAAAATACAGCCCTAACATTGAAGCCACGAGACACATATGGCAGAAAAGAATGCACACTAAAAGAAATTTTGGCCATACACTGCATGGCTAAATTGAAATGCCCCACATCTGTGGGAAACATATGCATTTTATTGATTCCCTGGGATGGATGACATTTGATGCTAAGTTACCAGACACCAGAAGAAGTTTGTTGAGAAAAACAAAACAAAACAAAAACTTGTTTTAGAAAGAACACATAATATAGACTAAATCGTCCTCTGTACTTGGTTTCAAAAGACAGGTGAGTGACTTACAACTTTGTCATCTCCAGGAGCCTCGGTGTTTGATACAATTAGGTTCTGCTGTGCTAAGTCATCAGGAAGAATTTTCTGTTGTTTTGTTGTCTGGGAAACACTACAGACTAAAGTAAACAGTATACCTGGAGAAAGAAAAAAGGGGGCTCCCTTAGGTCTCTCATTCATAATGTGCAACTGTGTTTACAGTGTCTGACATGAATAAAACATGCATCAAAGGGTGTGTGTCAAACACCTTTCAAGAACATATGATTGTATGTGTGCCCTTAGCAGATATGCTACAAACACGTATCACATATATTTCTACAGTGAAATTTCTACAATGAACTGTATATTCTGCTGAGAATACACAAAGTACATATTTAAAAAATGTATTAGATACATGAGCTAGTGAGGTGGCTCAGTAGGAAAAAGTGCATGCCACCAAATCCAAAATGAATGACCTATGTTCCCTCCCAGAGCCCCAAAGGTGGAAGGAGAGAACAGAAAATTGTTCCCTGATCTTCACACAGGGCACATTCCCATCAAAATAAGATAGATATATGTAAAATAAAATAAATACACATGCTAAATATATTCGTTAAATAGAAATATATCTATGCCCAAACCACCACCTATAAGTATTAACATTCATCCTAAGAATATATCTTAAAATTATCTTAAAGGTTTTGGGACAGATTCAAGAAAGGACTTACAAAACAGCAAGGCTATGCCCAACAGTATAGCAAGAATAGCCCATGGTCCAAGTCTCATGTCTGCATAGCCGGTCCTTTCTCCTGAGCGGGCTGTGCAGTCACTTTCAGTAATGCAGTCACAAACAATGACATTCAGTGAAGTGACTGAGGACAGACCAAGCCTGTCTGTAACTCGGATAGGAACTACGTAGGATCCAAATGAAGGGTCATTCTGATAGGAAAGACGAGCAGCTGTATCTGAATGAATAAATAAAACCAGCTGTTACAAAAGCAGCCAACATCGATTTAGCAAAAACGGCCAGTTATCCAATAGATACCCACTTCCCTACAAACAGACACTTGGGGATTATTATAACTGCTATGAACATGAAGCTGTGACTGATCTGAAGCCTCTGACCCACAGCCACTGCCAACACACTGTGGTTACAGGTAGTCTAACGCTGCCGGCAATGGTTAATTTCCACTGCCAACTTAACAAGATTTTAAAGTCACATAGGAGACACACTTCTAGGCATGACTCTGAGGGCATTCCCAGGGATACTTAAGTGATGAGGGAAGACCCACACTGAATGAGGGTGGCACTATCCTGTGGGCTGGCGTCCTGGATTAAAAAAAAAAAAAAGGAGGAAAAGCCCACAACATCAGCATTCATGACACACATGGCCCCCCGGTGCATTTCTTGTGCCACAGAGACAAAATGACACAAGGTTTCTGACTAGAACACTGCTGCCAAAAATGTTACTTGGCCAAGGATAACTTTTTAATTTTCTCTTAATATCACTTGAACTAAAACATTCTGACCTCAAATAGTAGGAAGGACAAAAATCCAAGAATAAAGCTATTTTTTTAAGAAAAAAAACAAATAAAAATATCTCTCCTCAGTCTGGCAGTGGTGTCACATACCTTTAATCCCAGCACTCAAGAGACAGAGGCAAGAGGATCTCTGTGAGTTCAAGGAGTTCGAGGCCAGCCTGGTCTACAAAGCTACACAGAGAAACCCTGTCTCGAAAAACAAAATCAAACAAACAAACAAAAAACCTCTCTCCTCTTCCTCAAGACACACAATACAAAAGAATATTGTTTTACAATGTATAAATCTTGTCAGTATACAGATCGTCATGGTTCAAGAAAGAGTGCCTTTGGCTTGCTTAGCTATGCCCTTGCTTTTCTATCCCCATCCCAGCCTCTGCTTGCATTTTTGTTTTGTTTTGTTTTTGTTGTTGTTTTTAGCTTTTCTTTCAATTTGTCATAGCAGGAAATTGAGGCATGAACACTGAGAGCTGGGCTTAAAAACTTAAAAAGTTTCAAGTCACCCAAAAGGTGACTAAGGTACTTGAGTTAAGAAAGCTAAGGCCATGATCTCACAGTCCATGGCAGCATGTATAGCAGATAGGAATTAAGTTCTGGTGTTGGTGCAATGCAATGTCGTGGTGGAGAAAAGCCACTTTAACTTCAGCCATTTTTGCACCATTGCTCCCCTCTGGGCTACGGGTCAACTGGGAACCAAAGCAAGGAAGATTCCCAAAAAGAACACCCTAGAAACAAAACAGTGACATGTCAGCATGGTGGCAATGAGAAGCAATAGGGTGGTGGACAGTCAGAGACACAGATACCCATGCAAGGGGGAGCTCACTGTCCCAGCTGCTTAAAGACTTTGGGCCAGAAGTTACAATGCATCCATGCAGATGAGTGCTTGGATACGAATGCAAATCTAGGGGATACCTAAGGGGATCCTGCTATCATCACCAGCAAACACTGGAGAGGCTCACTGCCTATTATACCAAAACTCATGTCTTCTTTCTGACAGTAAATTTTTTCTTATTTTCAGGGGGGGTGGGCTCATGCTGAAAAGGGAAAGACAACATTTGAAATCACAAACCATTAATTCTCGTGAGCCTCCACATCCTCCGTACTTCCGAATCAGAACTCTCCAAACTAAAATCAAATGGTGGGCCATTCACTGGCTCATCGGGATCAACTGCAACAATTTCAGCAGAGGACATGGTGGCCTTACATATCACCACCGTCTGCTTGGGTATGAATGGACCATTGTCATTCACATCTTCAAGTATGATTCCCAGAGTTCCAGTACAGCTTCTCCCATCTAGATTCAGAACAATAAGAACACATTGTTTAATGCCTTTATTTTTAGCTAGAAATTCATACACTGAAAATTAATATCTATATTTATTAATCACTTACAATGCATAAGTTACAGTAACAAGTACTGCCATGAGTGATGACATAGGGAACACCCAAAGAAAAATCTTATTGATTCCAAGTGGATTATACATGTAATAACTGCTACTTAGACATTTCCATCCATTCACTATGTCATGACAGCAGTCATGGACAATTTTAGACAGAGAAGTTTTAGTTGATTTTGAAGAGACAAAAAGAAAGTATGATAGGGTCACACAGTATTCTCAAAGTGCAGGTCAATATAATGGTGTGCACAGAATGTCACACATACCTGTGATGTGGAGAAAAGGGAGAAGGCAGGCAGGTGGGAGCCAACACAGACAAGAGCTAAGGACCTTTGAAAGCTGAGTAGAGAACTTGGAGTTTAGCACACACAATGAGAATGATTAAGGTTTTAGAATAGGGAAGTTGGATAGTAGAAGATATGTATTTGGAAAATTCAAACAGATAATGGTTTAAGGAGATGGTTCAAGGGTGGAGGAACATTTCCAAATGGTGTAGTCTCATAAATAGCCAGTCATCTATATATTAAGTAAATGGGACTTAGGACTCAAGGTGTAACTTCTGTAATTGGCCTGTCATTCCTACATACATATAAATCTTCCTGATAACTTTATACAAGGCTACAAGGCACTGTACTGGGAAGTCTGGGGCATAAAAGATGAAGCAATCAAGGGCCAGGGAGGTTATGAAGTCTAAAACCAAACATGAAACTAGGATTCCTGCCTCTAAACCATTTGTTCTTTCTACTAATTGAGGAGGATTTGGACACTAGAGATGGAGGAAAAGGAAAAACAAAATCTGCACCACTCCGTACCTGGGGGCCCCATCTTACATACAACTGCCAACCTAAGGAAATGGACACCAAGCTTGCATAGCAACCAGAACCTTAGCCAAGGCCCCTCTGGCACAGTGGCTGGATCTTGGTAATTCTAGAGCAGGCTCATAGTCTGGGCACCTCATACAACCACGTTAAGAACTGATTCTGAACTACAGACCACATAGATGTATGTGCAGGTCACTACAGAAGTGCTGGCCAGTTAAGGTAGAGTGAAGTAGGAGGAGAGAAACCAAAGGCAGAGCATAGCAGATGCCCCCATCAAGGCTAGGATAGGTCACACATGAGCAACATTAATGTAAACAACAAAATCACCATTTGGAAGATGAATTCACTGTATTTGAGCACATTTTAGAGCTTCAAGGACATGAAGAAGGTAATTTATTAAACAGAAATGAAATCACAGCTAAATCCCTGAAGAAATCAAACAGCAAAAATCATCTAATACATATTCTAGAAGAGGAAGGAACAGAAAAGAAATGATATTTTATGAGATTCACTGCTAAGAATTTGAGTTAATTTAGAGAGAGTTATGATACCTAAACTATCTTTTAAAATCACTTTTACAATTTAATTTTGCAAGTTAGAGAATAATGAGTTATGTTTATTTAATTGCGTATTTATTTTACAAATACACAAAGTTCAATTACACCTTTTTCTCATGGTTATCTTTTTGTTTTGTTGGTTGGCTGAGGTATTTTTTTTTTTGGAAACAGTTTCTAGGGGTAACTATGTAATTGTTGGCCTTGAATTGATCCTATTGCCTCTAATACCCAAGTACTGGGATTGTCAATACTTACCATGCCCAAACAAAGATAGCTTATAACAGAATTAGATTTTATACACAGAAGGGGTATTGTATACACAACTTTCAGAAGTCCATTCTCTCATTTCACCTGGAGATCAAACTCAGGTTATCTGGCTTGGTAGCAAGGACCTTAACCAGCAAGAGCCATCTCAGTGGCTCCATCTTAGACCATATTATCTTATAATGGAATCTAATACTAAAGATACTATTAGCTGACAAGAGTTATTAAGTGACAGCAAACTTATTAATTAATTGCTCTGAATGCTATACTTTGGAAAAATAAACTGAGAATTATGGAGCCTGTTTTAAAAATATATGTTTGGTAGGCTGGGCAGGATGACAAACACCTTAATCTCAGCCCTTAGAAGTAGCTGTAGATATATCTCTATATCTGCCAATATGGCCTGCAAAGGGAGGTCCAGGCTTGCCAGGATTACACAGTGAGACCCTGTCTCAAAAGAGAAAAAAAAAAGAAAAGCTATTGGACTGGGGCTGAAGCTGGGTAGCAGAGTGTTTTGCCTAGCACCTGGAAGACCTTTGATTTGATTCTTTACACCATGAGATTAAAACAAAATATATGTCATTGACTTTAAAACTGAGGAAGTATACAATTGAAGATGCAGTAGCTGTCTTAAAAACCAATTTCTTACCTGCATCTAATGCAAGGACTGTAATATTATAGATGCCATTTCTGACAGTCTCGGCCTCTCGATCGAGGGTTCGGAAAATGGTGATTGATCCTGAGTCTTCATTAACTCTGACCCACCCTCTTGGGTCACTTAACTTCCTGTACCTATTAACCATGGTGGAAGTAACACAGCAAGAAGGACCATGAGCCAAATCGTAATGCCAATAGCAAAAGAGGGTATAGACTTCTCTAGTATTGTAAATGTGAGAGGAACAAAAGCATTACAAATACCTTATACCACTGCTGCTTCTGTTGTCGGGATCATATGCCTTATACCCATCATTTCTGGTACCAACTGGTACATTTTCTTGAATCCGCACAGTTTGTGCTGGAGGGATACACTCGGGGCCCTCGTCCACATCTTTCACGGTGACAGTCACTGTGGCTGTGCTCATGGGTGACCTTGCACTAGCCTCTCTCGTGTACAGGGCTTCATTAACTACTCACCTGCTGCCGCTCTTCATAGTTCAGAGGCTACAGGAAATGTGTTGAATAATCAGATCAAACCCTTGCAAAGCTGGTGAAGTTCAGAATATCTTCGCATTATATCTTTGCCTGCGATTCTATATTATCAATTACAAATATCGAATTTACTAATTAATTCTTACCTTAACCACACACAGAATGCCTTCATTGGTTTGGGGATCGGTTGCAATTTTAAAATTTCCATTTTCATTGCCTTTTAAAATGGTGTAATTAGCTCTCCAATTAGGAGAGTTAACTAAATCTTTATCCTGAACGGTAAGACGTAAGATTTCCACATTAACTGTATTTTCTTCCACTGATGTCACATACTAAAGAAATAAAAAGAAAAAAAAATAAAGTTTCATTAATTAACTTTCACAAAACAAGATCACCACATGAAGTAAGCCTCATTCTTACAAATTCCAAAGCACCATGTTCTCATGCTTAAAACTCTATCCCCAAGCTGCTTTCGTGTCACTGTGAGCATTTCATGCCAAACCACGGGACACAGAAAGACACGCGCATCCTTTTCAACTGACACTGAGTCATGAGCTTGTCTCTCATAGACATCACACACTTACGACATTGCGAGTGAATGTTGGCAAGTTGTCATTCACATCTCCAATAGTAATGATGCAGGTTGCTGTTGTCTGCAAACCAAAATACTGGCCATCCATATCCTGTACTTTTATTTTCAACTGGTATTTGTCAATTAGCTAAAAACAAAGAAAATGTAACTGTTAGGCAAAAGAACCATCTTTACAAGTAGAATCTTGACTTCTGCTCTGTAGCTCTTCTTGCATTAATAATTTAGGGGAACACTGTTATGCCTAACAGCAGTTACTTCTTTAAAAAGTCCCTTGCTCCAGTATTGTGCAATCACTATATGAAAACTGAGTCATTTCTCAAATGAAAAGTGCTGTCAACTCCCAGAATATATAATCAATTAGCATTACCAACTTTCAAAAGGGGGAGTACATTTAGTATTGCATGGCAGTGCAAAACAAAAATGCTTTATGTCCTATCCAAAGTGCATTCTTATATTCAAAAGTATTGTAACTTAAATGACTGCTCTTCTCCTTTTCAGCCATCTTCATACCATAACTTCTGCCACTGTTCATCTTTCCTGTCTTTACCCATTAACTAAAGAAACACTAGAGTGTTAATATTGATGTCTCTCACACGTGCCTTTTCCAATGCCACTATCCTGCACAACCTCTTAAGTTCGCAGCTTAAATGATGGCTGCCTTCACCTGACTACCCTTCACACCTCATGCTGCTATCTGCCAGGAGGCCAGCACGTTTCCTTTGCATTAAAGTGCACTGAGACTTATCAAAACCAGTCAGATGGTGAGAAAGCAAAGACATAGGCTTTTATTATCCTAAAATGCTGATTTGTGTTATCTGCAGACAACAGAGAAACTCCAATATTTAAAAAGGCTGAGCAACAGGTCAAAACTGGAATCCTGAGATCAAAAAATTACCACCAAGCACTATTTAGTCAACTTCTGTGTCTAATGTTTGTGACTGTTTTGGTCATCAACAGCCTTTTTTTTTTTTTTTTTTTTTTGAGATTTAATTTCCTTATTTGTCATGTGTATATGTGAGTGTTGGGGGGTCAGGTGATTGGAAAATCCCAAAGAGAGTATGGTATCAATCCCCTAGGGTTGGTGGCACAAACAGCTGATATGGATTAAGGTTCCCCACAGAACATGCATGAGGATGCATTCTTTTTTTTTAAGATTTATCTATCTATTATGTGTACAGTGTTCTGTCTGCATGTATGCCTGAATGCCAGAAGAGGGCACCAGATCTCATTACAGATGGTTGTGTGCCACCATGTGATTGTTGGGAGTTGAACTCAGGACCTTTGGAAGATCAGACAGTGCTCTTAACCTCTGAGCCATCTCTCCAGCCCCTGAAGATGCATTCTTAATTGCTGAGCCATCTTCACAGCCCTGTAAGTGTTCATTTAAAGACTTTGGTTTGGAAGCTTAACAAGCCATTTTTATATTTTTTTGTTGCTGTTTTTTGTGTGGTTGTTTATTGTTTCCATTCCCAAGGGCAGTATTTACACATGAAAGGAACCTGTAGTTGTCCAGAGGAGAACATTTAGAAGACATTTTGTTAAATCACTTCAATAAAAGCAACTCTGTGTTACCAATGATAACTTTGGATAACTTCTAAAAAGCTCCTACTTTGGGGCCTATGCGCCTTGAGATATTTCCAATTAGGGATAACATATCTGTGTTCTTAAGTAACCATATTTCTCTGCTAACTGTCCAACTGAGGCAGTGTGCTCTTAAAAGCCCGGCTCTAATCCAGCTTTTTCTGCTGGTGTTTGTTACCTCTCTGTCCAGCTGGGATGACGTGGTTGTGATCACACCAGTAGTGGGATGCATACTAAATAAGGTGGGTGGGGAAGGCCACTGCTCCCGGATGGAGTACCTCAGTCGAGTGTGCATTGTATCAGGCTCATCGTTGTCAGTCGCACAGACCTCCCCCACGACAGAACCTGCAGAGGAAAAGCTCCTGCTGAATTTCCAAACCCTCATGCGATCTATGGCTCTTATTTCCTTCTTTTCTGCCTACTTCAGAAGCCCTTCTGGAGCACATTGTCACAGATTAGCATCAGAAGTTAATTGATAATTAATTTTTAGAAGTTAATTGATACATGCATAAAATAACACTTCCTTTTAAATACACTCACGTCCTAATATTTTGTGGATATGGTGACCTCAGCTTCTATCTTTACTGTATTTTTATATGAGCTCCTATTAATGATCATGCTATCCCTCTGTGAACCTTGAACTTCTACTGAGATTTTGTAATTATTCCTAAACTCTTTTCTATCTGCAGGCCTGTGCTTAAATTAACCACCTGCAGCAGTTCTCTCTAAAAATTCTCTTTGTACAGTCAGGTCTCCCTAAGGGAAGTCCCCAGAATTGCAGCCTGACATCCAACCAATCTTGGCCTGAGGATAACAAGACTGAGAAAAATCTTTGTACTGTTCTCAGGGACTCTTGATCACGCCCAGAATACTGCCACCCATTTAGTCATTAGGAGTTCAGCAGACATGTCTCCAAATGCTGAATGGCTACACCTACAGACACTTCCCTTAGAAGCATTTCATTTACTCTCAGAGAAACACAATTTCTTTCTTGAGGCAACCAGATGCATGTAGTTTGTTTGATAATCTAATCTACAGATAACCCATTTACTGGAATAAGAAACTAAGAAACTGCAGCTTTTCAAATGAGGAAAGTAGTGAAAGAGAAAAAACCTCCTCCCAGTACCCACATTTATGCCACCACAGTGGGCTGTTTTTCTGTGGTCACAGAGAGGCTCCATTTATGAACCAAAGCCCATCCAAGCTGCCCTGTATCATTGGTGTGACTACTTACCAACTGCACTGTTTTCCAAAACCGTGAAACTGTATAGTGTCTTTGTAAAAACCGGGTAGTTATCATTCTCATCCTCTACCTTAATGATGAGGGTCAGTGGATACTCTGGGGTATACCCATCTGGAGTTGTTGCAAATGCAGTCAGCTGCAAATAAAGTCAGGAAAAAGTGAAAATTGTTGTGGGGTAATCTTTTTGTACATTGTGAAAATGTATTTTTGCCAAGGCTCCTTCTGATTGGTTTATAAAGAGCAGACTGGCCAGTAGCTAGGTAGGAAGAGATTATGTACAATTTTAGGGGACAGAGAAGTCTCAGGGAAGAAGCAAGAGGAGTCGCCAGCCTCGCCAGCCTGACAAAGAGGAAGCAGGACACGCAAGAGGAGTGGTAAAAGACACAAGTCATGTAGATTGAGAGAAATGGGTTAAATTATAAGAGCTAGTTAGGAACAAGCCTAAGTGAAGGCCAAGTTTTCATAATTAATTAGTCTCTGTGTCCTTTTTTTGGGTGGGTTGTTGACCTAAAAAATAATCCATCTACAGAAAATGACCATATTTTGTTTTGTGATGCTGGGGACGAATTTCAGGGCCTCACACAAGCATGCTCTCTCCACTGAACTACACACTCAGCAACCCTGCAAATGATGCTTGAAAATAAAATGTGCCTGAAGATTGCTTTGACTCTCATCTGGAGACGACTCAGGCTTAGAGCACTTCTTTCACTGTCACTGCTTTGGGATGCACACATGACTGTGATGTGGAAAGATGCACCGGATGTCCTGTGATATTGATCTAGTATACTAATATGCATGGTTTTAATTTCCTCACTATTGCTGTATGTCATCCATAAGTATAATGCTTACTATTATTATTTACCAAAAACATTGATTTTTTGTCCTATTATTTTAGACACATAGATTTTTAAGTATAACTATTAGATATTTCTTAATTTACACTACAAATTCTGGGCACAATTAACTGGGATATGATTTTATTTTCTTTTATTAGTATTTTAGGTACCACCATTGCTGGACTTATATATAACGTTTCCTAAGAATGTTTGCATTTGAAAAGCAGGAGTTAGAAAGAACAAATGATTGGCTACAGATGTTGCATAAAGGGCTCCAGCAGGCCTGAGCATGGCAAGCACAGCCAAACATGGCAAACATGGTACCCTTTCCCTCTCCTTTGCTAAAAACTGTTAGGTTGTATTCCTAAAGCTAGCCCCCTAAGTCCATGCCCTAATTTCTTCTCTGACTCATTCCCGAGACACATCCAACAATCAAAATTCATTATTTGGTCAATAGGCTCAATCAGGATTTACCAACTCACCCTAGCACAGACTCCCCCTTCTTCTCCTTAAAAGCTCACTCTTAGAAACTCCTGCTGCTGCTGCTGCTGCTGCTGCTGCTGCTGCTTGCTGGCTAGCCCTGCCCCATCCAGAGCCAGCCACTGCCCCCCCCACACACATGCTTGTCCCTTGTGGGTAATAAATCTCCTTTGTGCTAAGAAAATTGTGTCTCAGTGTGTCTTGTATGGACTCTGGGGCACCACCCTTCTTTACAATTTATTCTTTTTAATTTTATAATGCATATTTCAAACCTAACCAGTTTTATAACAAGTATCATAGAAACAGCAGAACATTATGGATACTTAGAAAGCCACACTGCAGCAATCCTAAACTTGTACACAGAACTCAGAGCTTGCATGTCTATACAGTTAGTTTGGTTTCCTTGAGAAGAAAGAATGAACTCATCCAAAATTGTGTAAAATAATGGGAAATGAGATAAGATGAACAAGTCCAGCAGGGAAATCATGTCAGCATGAAGTCAGGTTTTTACAGCAAAAGAGATATTCCTGTTGGAATACATTGCTGGCTGGTTAGAGGTTGCAGTCTGCCATATTCTGGCAGCTTTCTCTAAGTTCAGCAACATGGAACTCCCTCCCTCCACAGCAAGGCTTCCTGCTCTCTAGATGCCCTTATCTGGAGACTGTCCCTGGGCCTGGAGGACTCACCTTATCTGAAAACTATCTCTAAACCAGATGCTGGTTGATCTTTATCTTGACCCTTGGCACAGACCCCTGCTAACAAGACTTGTGCTAAGGAGTTCTGCTATAGGACCCTACTGCCACATACTAAGCCTTAA